GGGGGGGGGGGGGGGGGGGGGGGGGCAACGGACAGAAGCAGCAGCACGCGGAGCCCCGCAGGAAATCGCAAGGAAACAAGGATGAGCAACTGGACGAACAAAGTCGTGATGTCCGAATGAGAAACAGAAAAACGCAAGGCGCCGCAAAATGAGAAAAGTTATTCGCTAGTGTGAGACGCTTGTCTCCGGGTTCACGTGTGAGCAAGTTCCCTTTGGGATGTGTGGTGTGGATACATACCGGTTCAACCTCTGGTGGAGAGGGTGCAGAGTGCGGAAAGTTGTCTTGTGTGTCAGGTGGGGAGCAACCTTGTCCTGAAGCAAGGATCAGCATCCAACCTGCACTGACTCTATCGGTGGTAACTTAACACCCCGAAAGTAGATCTCCAACAGGTCATCTGACGTCACAATCTACGACAGTCTGAGGCGGCATTCACACTATTAATAACAACAATTGAACAACAACAAACGTACACCGTATTACGGGTGTGTTTCTATGTTTTTCGTTTTGGGGAAGGCACGCAAAACGGATCTACTGTACAACCTCACACGAATGCATGCTATTGCCACTATTTTTTGTGTTCGGCCACGCTCCCCTCTTACCGACTGGTACACCGTGGCAGTCAAAATAAAAAACAACTATTTGCCACCACATGTGCTTCTTTCCCTCGCTCCGCTCTTACCGACTCCTCGAGCCTGGGGGTGTTGTCCTTGTTGACGCCGCACGTGTAGTCGAACTCGACGAACATCTGACTTCTCTTCACCTGGGGGTCGTACACCTGGATCTTCGCCTGCTCCTCCAGAAGGGCCTTGCACACAAACACCTAGAGTACAAAACAGTGATGCAAAAAATAAACAAATCCAAGCACGCACCATCAGGAGGGGCACACAAACGCCTAGTAAATACCATAGTCATAAAAAAAAATCATCCGGGAGGATCTTGTACGAAAAACCTACAGCAATAATCATGATGATCCAAAACAAGATAGCGCCGGGGCGCACGAGAAGTCAGTCAAGAAATATCGAATACCACATGGTATATCAACAGTATTTTCCTTCGGTAAAGACAAAAAAATGCGGCATACCTTCTCCGGTATCAAGTACACGCAAAAAAAATAACGCACCGCCGGAGTCTCCCTGGCGTCTCCCGTTCCCTTCTTCGAAGCGAGGTCAGTCAAGAAATCGAAAACCACTGAATGTTATATAATAGCATTGCTCGTTTTCGCAAAAATAAAAAATGCGGCATGACTGCTGCCGTATCAAATATCCAATAAATGACCCACCGCCGGAGTCTCCCTGGTGTCTCCCGTGTCCTTCTTGAAAGCGAAGCCAAGAACGGCGATCTTCTTGCCGGTGACGGTGTTGAACATGCGTCGCACCATGAGCTGGGTGAAGCGAGACTTCTGGTAGTCGTTCATGGCGATCACCTAGACTCTCGAAGTCGTTGTCAGCAGCCAAGACCACTGGGTTAGAACACGAGCTGCGTGAAGCAAGACTTATATGGTAGTAGTTCATGGTTCATGCCGATTACCTAGACTCCCGAGTCGTTGTCGGCAGCGAAGGCCGTATGTTACAATACAAACATGAGAGCTGGGTGAAGGAAGACTTTTCGCAGACGGTCGTGGCAATCACCTTGACTCCCAAATCGGCGGCGAACAACATGGGTTAGGATGGAAACATGAGCTGGGTGAAGCGGGACTTCTGGTAGTCGTTCATGTCAGCAACGACGACTGTAGGTTACTACGAAGCTGGGTCTACGCTGATGCGGGAGCTTTGTGCTTACTCCGGCTAATTTCTGCGTTTCGAAAAATTCAACCGTCAAATGAGGACAAAACATGCTCAACCTCTGCAGGCCAACGTAGCACATATATGAACGCCCAACGCATTCAACCTCAAATTGGTCCTTCCCTTTTTGTAGTCCACATTCTTGGCTGGCATCTGCTGCCTTGGTTTTACCTCGCGGGTATCGAGTACATCGCGGTAAACGTGAGGTATGACCAAGACGACAGATGCAAGCCAAAAAAAAGGACAAGAAGAAAAAAAAAGGATCAACCAAAAGAAGTTGAATGCGTTTGACGTTCAAATACGTGGTGCATATGATGGCCTACAGAAATTATGCGCACGTGTTGTGGACGAGTAAACAAGACTCATATATCGTATGCCCTACAGGCCATCATGTGTACCACACAGTTACCTAGGACGCTTGTCAACCTCGATTTGGCCCTCCCCTCCTTATGTTCCAATTTCTTGCTGGCATCGAACGTTACGTTCTTCTCGATACTTCGCAGGTAACCATGTGGTATCTATGATGGCCGCAGGGCATACGATACGAGGTTGTGATTGTGCTTATTTACACGTTTGCATCATTTCTGTAGGCTATCATACGTTCCACATATACGATATACGATCGTCCCATATGCGCGGCAAACGTGAGGTAACGCCAAGGCACCAGACGCCAAGTCGAGAAGGCGGACTACTGATAAGGAGGAGGAGTCCCACGTACTCAACCCCATGTCGGTCCGGCCGTTTCTTCCTTCTAACTTCTTGCTGACACTGCTGCCTTGACCTTGCGTCACGTTTATCGCGATACCCGTTAAACGGTAGGCAACGCCAAGACAGCAGATGCCACCAACAAAAGTAAGAGGGCAAAAAAACAAACAAAAAAAAGACCAAAACGAGCTTTGGTTGAATGCGTGGGACGATCGTGTATGTGGAACGTATGATAGCCTACAGAAATCATGCACGACCACAACCTCACATATCGTATGCCCTGCAGGCCATCATAGATACCACATGGTTACCTGCGACGTCGTCCAACCTCGGTTTTGGTGTTCCCTTTTTTCATATTCCAAATTTCTTCTGACACCTGGTGTCTTGGCCTTACCTAACGTTTATCGCGATACATAACGTGAGGTAACGCCAAGACACCCGATGCCAAGCGAGAAAGTGGACTACTAAACAAGGAGCACCGAGACGAGGTTAAGTGCGTCGGACGTATCTGTATGCGCAAATACAAATGGTGGCCTGCAGAACTTACGCACATGTGCATGTATGGGCGAACAACTCAACCTCGTAATACGCGCCTATAATAGCTAGAACCGAGCCCTACCTACCCCCGTTGTCGGGTTGGGGACGTGTGAGCGAGCTCATGAGATGCATCACGCGAAATACACACACCAAACCAAGCAGCAGCATCATGCAACAAGCGGCAGCGTCAACAGCAACAAAGGACACCACATGCGGCCAACACCTGGAGCAGCTTTAACACCGACGACAGCAAAGAGCCATTATACACGCAAATAGTTCCGAAGTGTAGTTGTGCTTCATATATATTTTTTCAGGGTTGGGGACGCAAAAAACAGCGCCAAAGGCAGTGTGGCCATGAGGCATGAAATATGCAAATGGTGGGCGTGCTTTGTTGCTGGTTTTGGATGTAGTCGTGGCTCCGATATCAGAGGAAACCTCATAAGAGGGGGCTCCGATATAAGAGGGTCGAAATCGGTAGTTACGGACTCGACCCTCTATCGAAGTACAGCGGCGGCTACGGCTTAAGAGAGGGTCGTGTAGTAGAGTACCCTCTTGTGTTCCCGTTCATGAGGGTCGAGGGCCTTGGTCATAACACCCTCTACTGACGGAGCCACCACGGCCTGGAGACCTAAGTCTCACAACGTGATGTAGCCCTGGGCACGCTAAGCATCAACCACAGAGCCGCCAAGTACGGCGCGTACCTGGTGCCAGTACTCGGCCACCTCAGGCAGGCCGGTGGACTCGCAGATGTAGACGAGGTTGAGCACGTCCTTCTGGAAGCAAGAACCCCCGAACCCGACCGAGGAGTTGAGGAACTTGTTGCCGATGCGGGGATCGTACCCCAGAGCGCGTGACACCTGATAGCAGGCAGGCAACGCCCAAAGACAACAACACAAAAAAAACAGCAACAACACCAGTCAAAATTTGATAAAAGAAGGAGGGAGCGAAAATTGACGCGGGAGGTGCTGAAGCAAACACAAGAGACTTTGACCGACGGTTGAGGGTCAACAATGCCGCACTGCACACTAGGACGGCCGAAATCTGCCAGTGGCAAAGCAAGCCATCAACGAAGTTTATCAAGAACGACCAACAACTCTCAGATTTCATCCTAATTGGTGAGCTATGTGTGTGGGTCGTACCCTACGTACTTGCTAAAAATGTCCATGAATACGAGGGCCGATGGCGAGATAATTCTTCATGACCTCGGCACTCCAGGACTACCGCGTGGACAACAATCTCGCGCACACTCCCCGTGTCCAGCTTGTTTTCGGCAGGTGTGGTTTCGAGCGGAACAACTTGAGAACAAAAATTCGCGAAACGGTGGGTTGCATTTTTTTTTTCTTGTTCGCTCACCTCAGAGATGTCAGCATCCGTAGCCTCGCACAACGCCGAGATGGAGTTGATGCTGCTCACGCGCTGCGCGAGGAAGGCTGAAAGGGTTTACAATGTCGCGTTCAGGAGCACGCGGCAAAGGGAGGGCGGTGGGATTGTTACGCACCTACGGGGACACTTGCGCGCCATTTTTCCCCAGTATGTGTGCTATTCTTGCCTCTTATGCTTGCATTTTGGCCAGTTATGCTAGCTTGCCAGGAGAGAGGCAACCAAAACGGGACTGGTTTGCCAGTGTTGGTTGCCCCCACAAGTAATCGATGCAGCTGGACACACACAAAAACAGACAAAACAAAAAGCCCAGCATCCCCCGCAGATTCCTCTCCCCACTCACTGCTTGCAAAAAAATTCAACACTTCGACGCATCTCTTTCGACTCGGGGAAAACATCTCCAAGGTGGTCTATCATCACTGATTTTTTTTTGTTTATGTTGCGAAAAAAACAAGCGACAGATCCTAAGTGACCCCCGGCTGTGCGTCCCGCACTGCACAAAATGGTGCAAGAACCAAAGACCAGCAACAAATACATGAGAAGAACAAACACCAAAGAAACCGGCCTTTCTTTTTCCTGGCTTACCATTGGCGACGAGCTTGGAGAGCTCTGAGGACCAAGTGTTGGTAGCGAGGATTCTGTCCTTGGGCACCCAGTTGGCGTACACGTCCACCTGCGAGCGAGCGAGCCAGAGCGAGGGAGAGCAAGGACGCCGTCCAAAAGAAGCGTGTCTGTAACAACCCCACAACGATTCTGACACCGCCGCCTGTCGCAAAATCTACAAAGATGGCATCGACAACAAAGACGGCCACCAACCACACCCACAACGACTCTAACGCCGCTATGCACGTACGGTAGAGGTCCCCGTGTAGTGCCGGTTCCCCGTGTAGTACCGGTCTTTTCGGGAGGCCCACACACTGAATTTCCAAACCATTCTCAACACAGGGGGGGGGCCTCAGTAGTGCCCGCACTATCCAAAGCACTGAATTACTTGAAGAACCACTTGGTGATTGAGTCTCTGCCAGCCCAAAACACCGGCACTATACCGGCGTCGACACCATTCAACCGGCAACTACTGAGGGCCCTTGTCTGCACTGAACAGTATCGGTCCGGTGTACCGCAAGGCTGCGAGTCAACGCACAGGGGTGCGAACGATTTCCAAAGCGTCATTTCTGCACATCCAGGAGGTGTCGATAAAGGGTGGTTCTTGGAAATATCTCATCGAGAGCTCTTCTGACAAGTATCAGTTGGCGCTCGCACCCTCCAGGTTGTGGATAAATGAGCTTGATCGCACCCCTGTGCGCTGACGCGCAATCTTACGGTAATTGCCGGTGAGATTTTTTGGAAACATGACCGGCACCAAGCAGGCACCCCTCCCCTGCAAAAAACACATGAAAAGAAATGACAATGACCAAGGAGCCATCTATCTCACCAGCTCCTGGATAGCCGCGAGTCCCTCGGGTGTCTGCATACCGCCGATCAGCACCCGGCTGGGCTCTTGCAGGTCGGGCATGGCGGTACCCTCCGCCAAGAACTCCGGGTTGGACAGCACCTGTTGCAATCCAATCAAAGCAACATAATCAAATGGATATAAAAAAGTGAACCCTGCCGTTGACACACGCAAGACAGGTCACTCCGGGTTGGCAGCACCTGCAATCGAAAATCAAATCGCATCATGAACATGATTGCAGGTTTGCTCCGGGTTGGCAGCACCTGCAATCGAATCTTGTTTCTTTCTGAATATCGTTGTGGTCCTGAACAGCCTCTAGCATATGTTTTCCTATGACAGGGTAGGCAGTACGCAATCGTCCCCGTGTAAAACTATTTAGGTCGGCCAACGTTCAAGATAACCCGTATTGACCCTCAACACCGTATGCGGGGGGGGGGCTTCGTATGACAAAAAATGGCATGGTTGGTAGACAGCACACAATCACCCCCGCACGCCTACCAACTTCAAGCAATCCGTTCTTTGCTGCGGTTGTTTCTTCTTTTTCATCTTTTATTTTTGTCAGTATGACCTAACGAATCCATGTTTTTTTTTAAATCTATAGTCAAGAGTCTAACATAGACTATTAACAGCAATGGATCCATAGCGTCAGCGAAAGTCCTGGCTTTCCACGATTTCCCGAGCAGCACACAGCGACATCTCCCCCGTGGGAAACAGGGTCATCAAGACAGTCTGGTAGCCATCTCATGCATTTTGTTTTTACTTGCCTGGAACTTGACCTTGCCCTCGTTGGTCGCCAGCACACGGCGAACAGCCTCGGCGGTACGGACCGGAACCGTTGACTTCTCCACCACCACCTTCGTTAACGGAGCGAAAAAAGGTTGGAATGCTATGTCGTTGTTCATGTTTTTTGTTGTTGTTGTTGTTCTTGTCTTTACAACAAAATCGTCCCGGTCTCGGCGCTGTGGTACCTCCTATGCATATCATCAGTACCGGTCCAACTTGTCAGTACCGGTTCAACCGAGGCGCATAAGAAACGGTGCAGCAGTACGTACGTACCCGCTGATTGGTCATGCTTTGATTGAGCGGAGGATTGTGAATGTAGCCTACCAATGTAGAGTCGTATGCATACATGCACTTACACACTGGGGTCTGGGTCTGGAGCTCTACAATTGGCAAGCATGAGATGCGCTGATATTATGTGATGAAAATACAAAAACACTGTTTACGGGGGATGCATGCCGTAGCTACATTATCTCAAGCGGAGCGACATGCATACTCAAAAGGAAAAACGGGCGCCATGCTAAACGAACCAGGCGGCCATTGGCGTGCGGTGCTCGCGACAAGGCAGCCGAACAGGAAACGTGATCTGCTGCATGAGCACGACTTGAGCAAAGGCACATCTACCTCTGGGCACATGCAATTGCTTTATCTACGTAGGTGCTGCTGTACGCATGTGCTGCACATTGGTGGGGGGGTG